CGTTCGAATTCATGATGTGACAAAATTGAAGGTTTTGTTTTAGGATCGGCTAACCTGACGCATTAAGTTACGCATTCTGGTTTGGGTCGCACGTTTAGATGATTACCTTATTACATAAATAAATAAATATTTCATTCTCGTATTCACCGAGCCATACCAAATCAGGTATGATCAAAAATTTGCAAGCAATTATGTGATGCAACAGATACTTTACAACGCACGTAATTGGCTGTGGCCAAAGTAGTACAATTTGCAAATCCTTCGAAACACTCATGAGGATCAAAGTCAAAAGTGGAGTGCCCGTAAAATGGTTTCAAGTGTGCGTAGAGTAAATAAAAATAGCACAGTAGTTAGAGTGGTGACAGTAAGTGAAGCAAGAGTAACTCTGTTGCACGTGTCAGTAGAATATAGAAAACTGGATAGTCGATATTCCAGTCTGTAGCAGTGGGCAGTGACTTTAATCATTGACGAGTCACGTCTGCTACGTCACACTGTTGATAAACGGCCTTTTGTGACTTTTATAAGGAGAACACTTGCCAGGCGAAAACCCACCACGTCCTAGAACACTGTCGTCGATTGCTGTGATCGGTCATGTGCAACTGGCAAAGCTGGTTATAAAGCATTAGTTCCTTCAGTTATTCGCAATCGAGTGACTCCTCTGTTGGCCAGGCAACTGGCACAATCAGCTTCCAACATGGACGTTTTGGTCAGTGGAAAAGAAAATATGATGCTGCAGGTAAGTAGAATTTCCAGAGTATGGGGTCTCGCCTTCTCTGCTTATGTATATTTGCCGGGGAGCGAAGAATTCGTGTCCAGCCACCCTCACTGGACATCGCTGGTGGAGTTTTTGGGTGCAGATGGTTAGTATGGAAGTGCAGCCATGGTCCAGGTAAGTCCTTGTTCGTTATTTCGTCTCATCCCAGACGGAGGCAGTTCCTCAGTACAATCCCGATTCTCTCAGATGTTCACGACCTCACAGAAAAGGGAAAGAGAGGAACCGGCTGAGAGAAGACCAAAAAGGACAGTCATTGTAGCAAGCATTGGGGAAATCCTACTTTAAGACATTTATTTGAAACGACTGGTGTACAATGTGTAACAGATATTACTCTGAAAATGATTTTAATTATGCAGAAGACATGGTCTAATGGGTATAATACTTACATGCACATAAGGATGAAGAGCAGGGTTCCGGTAAGAAATTCATGAGGTATTAGCTAACGGCGTTAGAATTTAACCTGAGACCAGAAGGTGGGTACATAGTTTGACCATTATCGATCGTTGCGCCCGTTGGCCCGATGTCGCTCCCATCCCTGACTTAGCTGTGATAACGGTAACGCGCGCTTCCGTCAAGCGCTGGTTCGCTTCTCACGGCTGTCTAGCCACGGTGATGACAGACCGTAGTCGGCAATTCGAATCTGCGAACATTATCCATCTCCCTAAACTCATTTTAGGCCAACGCATTCGCACGACCGCCTATCATACGCAAGCAAACGACATAGTGGAACGTTTCCACCAACAGGTGAAAGCCCCATTTAGCGCCGCCAATGCGGTTTGTTGGACTGAGTTGCTGCCTATTATCATCCTTGGGATCCGAGCAGCCCTAAAGGCTGATCAACGTAGTCCATCGATGAGTTAGTATAGTGACAAGCACTGCGTGTACCTGGCGATTTCTTTTCTGATAGACCCAGTGTTCTCCCTAACAACGCGAATTATGCACGTCAGTTAGCCACGAGCATGCGACACTATAAGCTTACCGAAGTTAACGAACAACGCCTTAGCTCTCTTGTTCCACAAGACCTACCGCGCTGTCCGTTCGTTCTTCTCTGCTTCGATGTTCTCCGCAGACCACTGGAGCGACTTTACGAAGGTCTTTTCAAGGTTATTCAGCGTAAGGAGCGCGTCTTTATCATTGACGGTCACGGTAAACAAGAAGCCCTTCCGATTAACCGTCTCAAGGTTGCCCCGGTGGCACCTGAGCTTGATAAAGGCACTTGCTCATATGCTGGATAATCAATTCAGCCTACGATGGAAGACTTGCCTGCTTCCAATATCCCAGAGCCCAAGCATGGCGCTCCATCCAAACCTACCAGTTCAGCTCCGCCGCTTCCCAGAAAACCAACCGCCAAGTTTACGGCAGTTTCTCTAATTTTGCGATCCAATAGAACGTCTAAGACGACGCCTTCCTCTGATTCGCAGAAGTCGACTAGGTCGGGTAGACGAGTTCATTGGTCAGCGCGAGTAAGAGATTAGTGTTCCTCTCGCTTTTCTTATTGCTTTCCATTTCCCTTTTGGCCAACAACGAACAAAAATCCCAAACAAATCGGCAAAAGCTTTTGAAAACGCCACGAAAATATCATTTTGTAAACCCAAAAGCAAGCAAAACGTTTTGAAAACCCAAAAAGCACACGCTTTGCAAACAAATACAAGGAGTTGCGTTTCGCTTGACGTCTACCTCGTCCAGCAAGTGTCACTTACTTTTTCCCGCGCCTTCACCGTCACTGCTCTTCCTTCCGTTTATCTTCCTTGTATGAAACGGAGGAGATGACGAACCTGAAGCGGACATTTGACCTTCACGAACTCGCGAACATATGACGCTTACGAACTTCCCCCATTTTGTGTTTTTGGCACGTTAGGGAGGACACGGGTGGGAGCCCGCTAGAGTCCGGTCGCTTAGTTTCCCCCTGCAGCAGCATCAGGTTTCACTACCTGGTCGCGCAGATGGCTGACCCGCGACGCACAGTTCTCACTTAGATCGAAGGGTCACCCACGGTTTTCCTTCTAGGATGGGGTTGTATGGTGACCTGGACATTTCCCCGTATAACTGTGTAAACTAGTCTAAAATATATTCAACTTATA